TGCTGGTGTGGGGCTCATCTCTCGGTTGCCTTGGGTGCTGCCTGAGCATCTCTGGCCTAACGTCGATATATAAGGAAACAAAACTATTTCAGATATACTCAGATCAGGACAGTGGTTTTGCTTTTTTTTTTTTTTTTTTTTTCTCATAAAAATCTAACCTGCAAGTCTAACCAGTGCCTCTTGCAGAACTGCCGCCTCAGTGGTCCCAGCCTCAAAGTCACCTCGGACAAGCTACTCGTGCTGTGGTGTCAAAAACCACAAGAGGATTGTACTTACCTGTTCCTCTTCAGCCTTTGCTGTGCCTTGTACCTGACTTCCCACACCCCAGTGTAATTTGGAGGCTGCCACGTAGCTAGAGGAGTGCGACTGCCATGGGCTGTGCTGAGACCTGCATCAAACGTCCGTTCCTGCAAGGCAGGCTGACATGAGCTGGAGGAAGGGGCTTGCACCATCACTGCCCAGGCAGGGCTTAGTTAGAGAATAACCAGAGGTTTGTTCAGCTACATCGCTTTTGGTTTCAAAACACTGAAGTCAATGACATCACACTTTAAACAAGAAGGACACAAGACAGAGATATGACGTGCAGAAGAAACACCTAACCCTCACACTGGGGAGGAGGCAAAGACAGGAGCAGCAGCAGCTTAAGCACTGTGATCCAGAGCAATCCCAATTTTAGAACTACACCTAACACCGTAAAAAGTCCATACAGCAACATCCTGGGGAATATTTGGCCCTGCTGAGCGCAGAGACCCACTTTTTCTCAGTGTGCCAAACCTCGACGTGCTGCAGCAGCGGCTGGGCAGGCACCAAGCCGCATCCTGCCCGGGGACATTAATGTGTCCAGGGCCGCAGAGCCCTCCAAACCAGGGACACTGTGACCAGCTCACAAGCATTTTGTGGAAAGAAAAGGCATTTGAGCTATAAATTAATAAATACAACATTTGCACTGCATTAGGGTGACACTCTCAACTCTATTCACATGTTAATACTCACAAGACTTCTGCATCCCTACTGTTTGCTCCGTTTTATGTATAGAGAATAATAGCTTTCATATGATGGAAAGTGAGAGAGATGAGCTCATAAAGTTACCAAGAAATTACATCCACCGAGCAGTTTAACCCAAGTAGTTATTTATTAACCATGCTAGTAGACCTAATTTATTAATCACACTAGTAGTTTTGATTGCATGCAATACCATCTATGCTAGCAATTAGCACAATGAATATAACTACTCAAACTAGTAACAGCACACTCACCTAAATAACAGCAGATAGCAGGCTAATCCACCGTGCTTGAAAGCACCTTGTGAAGCCTCTTATTTTTTTTATTTTGCCGAGCCAAGATTCTGCACGTTGTGAGAGCTCAATTGTCAAGAGCAGAAACAGATGCAATCGTTTAGAACTTATTAAATGCAATATCAACGAAATAGCCCTTTGAAGGGATCTCAGCTGGCTTTCTCTGCTCAGCCACAAAAATATTGAAACAAAATGTCCATATCCTCCTCTCTACTTACTTGTGGTTCTCATTTTTGAGAAGAATAAGGGATGACATTTATATCTTCATTCCAAGGCAGGTGAATATTAAGGACAGAGAATGTATTTCTACACCACTTCAATAAATCACAATGCAATTCTAGAAAAAGATTTGCACAGGAAATATAATGTCTAAATCACATTTCCACAATAATTTCTTTATAACTTTTCTCTAATACCTTTGGGTACAGACAAGTCTAACAGAACCATCTGGTTTATGTAGTTGTCATTGATGCTGGGTGGGAATCACCCCATTTCCCTAGTCTATAAATTGATTAGGTTTTGCTGAGATCTCAAAGGATCCATTTAGGCTTGACACGAAGAGGTAAAGATTAGGTTGCAGTCAGAGACTTCTTTAAAAATAATGTACCAGCCTGTTCTTGTACCACTTATTTAATCCTGACCAAGCACACGGACAAGCAGAAGAGAAAGAGGTTTTGGTCTGGGTACGGCAGGAGCTGAGCAGTTCAGCTCCATCAGCTTCCCAGCGGTTGATGTGGAGATTTGGGTGGGCTGTGAGCATCAGGACTCATCCCACCGCTTCCTACCAGTTTAAGATTAACTCCCATGTGTCATCTGCAACCTTAAACTCCAGCAAAAGGACAAAAATACATTTGGGCCATTGGAGAAAGCAGTGATTTATATCACCTGTTCGAGATGGACATAGGCTGGAGCCGCTGCCTCCCATTCACCCACCATTCATGGTCCTGAGGGACCTTCCCCCCCGCCCCGTTCCCTGCCCCACGCAGGAGGAGGAGCTGCTCTTTCCCCATGGATGCCAAGCACAGCCCAACAGCATCACTCAGCTGACAAACGAGTCAGATGATGAAACGCTGAGCTTCCGCCACCACTACAGGCTTTGGGTGCAAGGTGTCACCATCCCTCCACTCAGAGAAGAAACACGGCATTGCCTAGGGGACAATTCTCCAGCTGCAAACCCGTAAGTGATAGGAGACCTCACATACCTTGGCCGAGTTCCCACCTGGCTGAGAAGACAGGCCATGCTGACCCCCTGGCCCACAAGGCAGGAGGAGCTCAGGAGATGCTGGGTTATGCAGCATGCTCTGGAGGCCTTAGCTGGAACTCCCTAAGTATTTAATTTTCAGGGGTATTTTCAAATAGCTTTGCTATACTTCAAGGTAGGAGGGACAGGCAGAAGAGCCTCGGTCCCCTGACACAAAGGTTGGAGTTAAGATCTACCTCCCTTCAAGCAAGTGCGGCTTATAGTAGGCTGATTTTGAGCATCTCCTAAAGTTTGAAGACTTGAATGAGTCTGGCAGGAAAAGCTCCACAGGAGGTGAAGAACATGGACTGGTGCTATGTCCAGATCCTCTTGGCTTCCTTACCTGTCCCGGGGAGCGGGTGGCTCAGGTCACGCCGCGTCTTGCTTTGGCACACCGGTTTCTCATACAGAGACTCCCCTTTAAAAGGGGCTCAACTCTCCTCCGCCAAGCAAACATGCTCCTAACTTGCAACATCAATGAACTTAAAAGCAAAACAAACTACCCGTTTCATTTTTTAACAGGCTCTTTGATTACCGAGAAGAGAGAGAATTGCTGCTGCTATAGAAACAGCAGCCACCAACCTGGAGACCAGGCTTTGCTGCAGGCAGACCCAGAGACTGCTCAAACTGTGAGATGTGCCGCGGTCCACATCCAACCACCGCGCCAGCCTCTATGTTTTTAAGGCCACAAAAATATCTAAAAATACGCCCTCCTGCTCTATTGCAAAACTTTTCAAAGCAGCCGCCTTTCTCCCAACAGATGTGAGATGTTGGTAAATACAATATTGTCCAAGCCCAGTTACAACTTGTTCTGTATTTCCCTGTGAAACGAAATCCATTGGAAACTCAGCGCTACTTACCCCACCTCTGCCTAGTTTGGGTGTGGGAAAGGGACCCGTTACCTCTGCACCAAACCTGTGGGTCATATCTTTGCAAGAAAACTTTCAGAGCTCAGACAGCAAATACCAAAATCCTCCTTCACTCCCATGGGCTTTAACTGTTCTCCATCACCTCTGCAACACCCATGGCAACGTTGTAAACCAGGGACTACTGAAAAGATCTCTTCAGATACCAAAGCGCTGACTACTATTGTATAGACATATTTAGAAGATTTTGTTAAAGAGAGATTGTTTTTGGCAAGCACTTTTTAAATAAAAAAAAAAAATAGTTGAGAAACCAAGTGAAAAAAATTACCATATTTCCCTAGGAAAAACTCATTCGTGTTATAAATTGCAGTAATTAGTAAAGCAAACAAATAACATGTTGTATCTGCGCAGGGATTTGAAGAAAAGCTGTTTAAAAAACAAACATTAACGTGTTTGCCAAGAAACATGTATACATACTGGATTAATTCTTTATGATGATTGACTGAATATACTGTACATAATTAACTACGGGAAAGTTCTGATATTTCAAATGTTTAATTACAATGAGATAACGTATCTAGGTGTGTTTTTATCATCCTTAAATTTTCATGCAAGCTATTTAAAAGTAGTGATTAAAGCACCACAGAAACCCGACTTTTAAGATTCTTTCCACGAACTGTTGCTCCCTGTACATCAGCCCTGCCAAGGGACGCAAACGCGGCGCGGCAGCCGGAGCGGAGCAGCCCCGGGGCGAGGACCGCGATGTCCCGCGGGCCAGGAGAGGGGGAACCAGCTCACAGGAGCAGGAATTTGGCATTCACCTGGCTGGTGTCTCGGTCAAAACATCAGCAGCCTTCCGACGTGCGGGACAGGTAACAGCCTGGCTGAACTTCAGCTTCCCAGGGGCCGGACGAGCAACCTGCCATGTGTTTAGCTGCCTAAAAAAAAAAAAAAAAACAAACCAAAAAAAAAAAAAAAGATTATGCCATAAAGTGATGAACTGCACCAGCAAATGCTTCAAAAGTTACACAAAATCATTCCGATTACAAATTGGAAACATCCTGAGTGAAATCTGAGGCTCCCACTCCTCCCTCAGGCCGCAGCAACCCCACGGACCTGCCAGAGAGGGGCCACACAGACTGCCAAGGCTGTACACAATTAAGAAAACTCCTAGTAATATCAGAAAGAATTAAAACATTTATTGGGCATAAATATATTACATATACACTACAGATACAGTTAAGTCTTACATACATAGTGTAGTATTTGCAAAATCTATACATTAAAATTGATATGGCAGTTTTAATATAATGCATATGAAATAGTCTAAAATTTACAATACAAGAAAACTTATGATTATTTCTTTTTTTTTAAGTTGAAAAGCTTGGAATGTATGTTCCCATAGTGAGGTAAAAACATTTTATTTTTTTCAATTTAAAGAACTGTGCAAGGATAAGGTTCATACACATTCAGTTAGGGCACTTCTCAATTGTGACACTGAATACTGAGCTACTATAGCCAACAAACAGGATTAGAAAACATTTCAAGTTCATAAAGAAAAAGGCAGAACAATATAAAAACATCTCTCTCCTTCCTTAAGGGTTTTAAATATTTAGTCTTTCGTTCTACCTTTTTTTTTTTTTTTTTTTTTTTTGTGTTGTGGTGGTTCATAATCTCTTTGAGAGCAGAGAGCCCTCGGGTTGGCTTCAATGCCTGGCACTGCTGGATCAAAGGGCACAAGGACGCACGGGGAAGGACCAGGCATCGCCAACGGCGGGTCAGGACCGAGGGGGTTAATGCCCGCGATGCTTTCTGTTTCTGTTAATATATGGATGACAATCAAATCACTATGGCAGAATATACAACCTAAAAGAAAGTCAAATTAACTTATTTAGGGCCTGTCCCACCTCCTACAGAATACTTTTACCGATAACCTCGGGGTTGGACTGGGCGTTCTCGTTAGCGTGATTGTAAGGGACAAAAAAACTAATTAGCAGTGACAGAAATGCTTCGAGTGTAACCGAACGATTTGCTCTACACTTCTGCTCGCTGCTTGTAGTATCATTAGTATTTCAAACTTTCAAAATTGATCAAATCATCTAAAGCAAGGTGGTGTCGTTTTTTTTTTTTTTCCTTTTTTTATTAAAGAAAGTGTTTTTTTAAAAAGGTGTCAAACTTGGATTTCATAGCAGCACTGCTGAAACAATAATCCAAAAAATAATAAGGGAATCTATTCAAATTTCTAGGTTTCCAAACTAGCGGTCTTTTCATTGTTTTAAAAAATACACTCTTTTCCCCCTCCATTGAAAACAGCTGTATATGCTTTGCTCACAAAATACAGATGCAAGGTCACAAAGTTTCATATCACAAATAAATTTAAATAAGATGTAAATAAATTTGACAAGCCATGACTTTGGCAAAACCAAAAAATATATATATTTAGCTCAATGCCATTGGTTTGCAAGGCTAAATTAAACTAATTATAGTCAATAACAAAATACAGAACATTTCTAATACTTGCTACATCTAGAGAGGCACACAGAATAATTCATTGATCTTAGCACTTTTTTTTTTTTTTCCAGAGATGATTATGTTTTTGGATACATGTAAACGTTTGAATCACTGATAATGTTTGTGGTTTGGTTTTTTTTTTTTTTTTGTGTTTTTTTTTTTTTTTTTTTTGGCATTTAATGTACTAGATGCTCCCATCTTCAGAAACACAAGAAAATGTAAGAAGATTAATAATACTAGGAATGCTGCCAGGTAAAAATTTGACCTAAAGTACAACAGTATAAAACAGACAAAATATAACATGCTACAGGGAAGGTGGGGAAGGGGATTAGTACATAAGTACACTTTTTATTTTTATTTTTTTTTTACAATAAATAAAAGATTGCACTGTAATTGGTATTTAAAGTACTGTATGCAGTATATAGTATAAATAAACCTAAAACAAAAATAATGTTGTTTTTTCCCCATTACTTTGGTTAAGGGAATATTATGCTAGTACAGGACACTGATTCTTAGACGATGGAGACAGAGCACAAAATAGCTAGGACAAAAGCAAAACCAAGTAGCAAAAATATACAAAAACAAGAGGCAGGGAAATACACTGTGTCTGTTGCACCCTTTTGGAATCTATTTGCACCTCCAGCTCATTTATGTCCCTGAGGTACTTGCACAATGTTGTCTTAATATAAATAACCCAATGACTCAAGAGTTAAAAATCTAGTATCTTGATGGATTAAAACACGTGTCTGGAAAGGGGCAGGCAGGAGGGGGGGAACACCCCCACCAGAGCAGGGACTATTCCTCTGCAGGACTCTCGTCTGAATTTTGCCATGTACCAAGTTATTTCAATTAGCCCTGTGGTAAGAATAGCATAGACACCCATTTAAAGTATTTAAAATAAACAGATCTAATTTCTGATACTTCCAAGAAAATTCCATAAAATGGATACCCCTCCAAAAAATAACAATAATAATAATAATAATAATAACAACAATAAAAAGATCAACTGACAGTAAAGTTTGCTTACATTGAGTGTAAATCTCACCTAATTCAGTAGAGGCAGTAAGCTGTCACCAGCTCTAATCATATAAATCAGGCTGAACATAATAGAATAATATCTAGTATTAGATTAGGAATAGTTATATACAGTGACAAACAGACAAGTTAAAGCAGCTTTTAAATAGCTGAACATGGGAATAACTAACTATTGCACAATGCCCTCTTACTTAAAATTACTGCTAGGAATCAAAATGGTAAAAAAAAATCTATAATGCTTCATAATTTATATGCAGTTTGGTTATTTGATCTCTTATACAGGCAGTTTATAGTGTTGTAACTGTAAAAATAACATCATTAAAAATGTTTTTCGACTGCAGGATACTGTTCCGATTTAAATGCACTAAACAGTTAAAATAACAACTTATGTTTTATCTTGAAAAAACTGGGGCAAATGTAGTGATTAATTCATAGGCAACATTGCTAATACTGTTCAAGGAAAACCTGGTACTGTTGACTAACACTGTATTCTAGTCTTACCACTATACACACTTGTGACTAATGTTTAGAAGGAAAAAGAAGAGACAAAAAAGTGACTCATGATTAAAATTTCCTAAATAATAAGATAAAATAAGAGACTGTATGAACTTCAGTGAAAAAACAAAACAACATTGAAAAGGCAAATTGGTGACAATTTTGAAACTGTGAAGGAAAAAAAATCTTGCTTTTGGTATCTGGTTTGCTTGTTTCTCCAGTTTGACCACTTCCTAGTTTTGAATTTCAAAAAGGTGCATCAAAACACTGATTTATCTTTCTTCAAGCTAGAACTGTAAAAACAAGAGAAGTATATAAAATGTATGGTAGAACAAAAGGATTTCAAAAAAAGGAATATCTGAATAAATGTGTGGATTATAATGCGTAGCATTAGTTAAAATTGTATCTCAAACTCCCATTGAATTGTCTACTTCATAAAGAAGTATTGTAATATACAGGCGAATATAATTGACAAACTTGCAAAGCCAAGAACAATGAGGGCTGCAAACTGTTCATCAGTAGGAATCATGCTCTTTATCTTAGCATCATCTATGCTTCCCATTTCTCCTGCAAGCATGATCTCATTTCGCTGAAGCATAAAGGCAACGGATGGGCTGAAAGGTCCACTAAGTTCCTGTGAGGTATCCAAGCACCGGCGGCAGACGCAGACGCGAAACCGATAGTCTGTGTTGACTTGAAGGCCTGAGATGTGGAACGTGGTCTCTTCTCCCTTGTACACCTTCAAAACAAAACAGTGAGCACAGTCAAATACAAAGAGCAAGGCAACCTCCTTCCTCCTCCTCCTTTCAGAGCACCAAACAATTTTAAAAAGTAGTAACGTTAGATTTTGCAAGGATTTGAGCCAGGGAGTTAGGTCGAGTCTGAGGCTCTTGAGGAAACACTCCTGCAGCAATCAAGGGAAGGAACCCACTAGGTCAGTGAAGGTTTTGGAAAAGCAGAGGCATATGGAGGACTATAAAATAAAAGTCCAACCGTGAGAGGTCTCATACAGTGTGTTCAACAGTCCATGCACACAAGGACAGACAAGACTTCAGACCATATATCAACCATAAGACGTACCCTTCTTTTGTGGGTGTAGATAAATACTACAAGCACATTTCTGTACTCTTAAAATGTGATTATATGCCTAAAACATGTCTAAGACTTAAGAACTGTGTTTGGCCCCAAATGGAGGAAAACCTGAAAGCTAAGGTTACTGCAAGACACTCATTGTATAATTGTGAAATTGGTTGCAAATATTATTTTAATGTACTTTCCCTCATATTTCTCTCAAGAGTCAGCAATCTTGCCAGGAGTTACACTTTCAGAATTGTGGAAACAATAAAATATTATTAAGGTATAAAAAAGCTCCTCTTGGTTGCAATATATTTGGTTCTTTAGCAATCCAAACCCACCATGTATTTACGTTAATCAAATGTAGGTACCGCATAACTCGAAGAACATGAGTCACAATTTGAGAAAGAAGAGAGATAACTGAGACAGTTTTGTGACTTAAGTGGAAAAAGACCACTGAAAACATTTATGAACTCTGAAAACAAATAACCAGTCAACAATTTATATAACAGAGGGTTGTTGAAACTAGCATTTTATGAAATGAAATATGTGTCACAAAGTGCCTGTGTCTGCTGGAAAAAACAACATCCTGAATTTCAGATACTACTTCTTCTGCTCATTTTATCTCGTTTCCATCTCCTTGCTGAGGGAGCAGAAGGCTGAGAGCATCTTTGCCCTCCTGGAGGGAAGAGCTGCACTAAGAGATGGGTAACAAGAGGGAAATTAAACCTGAGCTGATAGAGGAATTCCTGTGTGCTAGTCTGGAGTAAGAAATACAGGAAGAAAAAGAAGAGACATGCTCAGCTAAACACCACTTAGAGTCCAGCTTTCCTGCCCATGCTTGCCCCCGAGACTCATCCCTCAGTTAAAAAGCCAGACGATGATTTCTTGAGGTGGTCTTGGACAAAAGATTAAGTTTTTTCTTTCATTTGCTCTCTCCCCTCCTATTAAACTTTCACAGTTTTTCCAAACACAGTTTGAATGATGGAGACTGAGTTTCCAGACTAAGCAGAAGTCCTCTAACTGGCTCATGTTTCTTGGCCCCAAAGCATAGACATTAAACAAAATTATGTTACCCTCCTCACGTATGCTCAGCATTCCCAGGAAGTTCACTCTAGCTCAAGTGACAGGAATACAGCAACTTCATACTGCAAATCTCTGCGATTAACTACAGCTATGCACCGTGGCCTTCCTTGTCATCTTTGCTTGTCTTCCCAATGCCGATAAGAAGCGAGTCATCAAGTTACAATAATACAATAATTGCAAGGAAAACAAAACTGCAAGTGCTGTAGCGGTCCATAGAAATACGGTGGAAGTCGAAACATCTGCTTGCAAAGCATATTTCAACCCAAGAACATCTCTGCCACTCTATTTTCCAATGGCAATACCATTTCTAATACCCACCTGTTGTGGGGAACTGTCCTCCACCTACTTCATCGTCAATACTACATCTTGTAGGTAGTTAATACTTCAGTTTACTCTCAAATACAGATGATCATACAAAGAAAAGTTGTATGCACGTGGCATGTAAGTATAGGTTCAGCGAGTAATTAAAAAAGGACGTGTTCTTCCACATGGCCAGAGTCAGGATTCTTCTGCTTAGATGACTTACCTAACTCCCATTTCTTTAGACTCTGAGACATGGTAACTCAAAGCATCTATCCTTACAAAACAACTGTAAGCAAGGTACGTTTTCTCCTCCTGTTGTAATTATTAATTTAATTGCAAAATGTATAATCAGAGGAGCTCTACATGCCTTTGCCATAATTGAACCTTTGCAATAAATATGACCACTTCTAAAAAAAAAAAATGACATTTAATAAAAATTTTACAATCTAAGCTTCATAGATTACATTTAACAGATACCAGAGATGGGATATATGCAGCCTGTCTCTGCATTGAAAAAACCTGCCCTGTTAATTGTTTTTTCACTTGTTTTGTCTGTCAGGGTGGTGAGTACCAGTGTAACTGGAGGCTAAGTATGGCTAAATCAAAGAACTGCATCTTCATTACAGTCTAATAAATATAGATGACCAAGTTCACTCAAGCCAGCTACTCAACAGCACTTCTCAGAAAAAGGCCAGACAGTCAAGTGAGAGGAGAGCGCATCTTTAAAAGAAGTTTGAAAAATAGCTGAAAGCACACCGAATACATGTATTAAGACAAAACATATCCTGGACTAGAGCTAGGAAGGTGGTGGAAGTTGTCCTGCTTTCAGTGGTTTGGCGAGTATTTAGCACCAGTGGCCCTATGTGCTTTCCCAGTAACAGGTAAAAAAATCATTGTGCTGAATTGTCATTCACTTCTGACAGCAGGCTCTGCATCCCCCGCCACGGGCTGCAGCGAGCCCCTCGGAGCGCAGCCAGCTCCAGCTCAATTCTGCCTGCAGTAGCGTCTGTAGGACCAGGCTAAGCCAAGGCAGGATGCCCTCAGCACAAAGGTATATGCTTGGTTGTGAACACAGTTATACTTTGTGTGTGGACTTCACATACACAGAAGGAAAAAAAAAAAAATTACAATTATGTAGAAGGTCTACAAATTTGCTAAACAAATATGAAACCAAATATAACTGTATAAAGCAGCATACTTTTTTATATGTAGCACATTATGCTTTGGTGGTCAACAAATCTAAGTAAAGTGGCTATCCAATTTATCACTTTCAGTTCCTAAAAACAGAGTTTTACTGTTTAGGCACCTGAGAATATAATAAACACACAATGAGATTTTTGCCTGGCTCCCTCTGTGAAAATATCAGAAGTAATAAACACTGCTGCTGAAGCTTCTTACGGCATTTGATCCTACTGATCAATCTAGACAGCTCTGAGTTCCTATAGTCAAGTACTCAATTTCACCAAGGTCATTAAATAATTCTACCCCCCCATCCATCTTTTCCAAATAATAAAAATGACAGCTGCAATTGCCCTATAAGCAACACAGTGGAAAGTGTAAGATAACCTTACCTGGTTGTTGTGCTCCACTGCAACGACTAGTGTATTTACTAATTAATAAAAGCCTATTTTGTATGGTGATGAGATCAAGAATCAGAGGCAGCTTTCAATCTATTTAGAAAGTATGCCCCCTTAGAATATTTAATTCCTTCTAAGTCATCTGACAGATTTCTCTTTAACAAACCGACTTATTATTTTATACAAACTCAAAATCAGCTTCACTCACTCCACTGTTGAGATGCTCATAAACCCTTAGGAGTTGTGTGGACAGCCTTGTTTCCTAAACAAAGTAAACAAGTCCCTCAGATCACCTTCCACAAGGTGGGCTGCACAGAAAAACTAACGGAAGGACATTATTTGCTCTGTCTCATGACACAAAATTGGCATCAGGAGGCAGAGAAAATACTCCATCCAAGTAGTGTTAACTATAAATGTCAATGCAAACTGTATGACTGTGCTGTATTTTGGTCAGTTATGTTGTATTTTGGCATGCAACCAGTACAAGTGTCATTGACTTGTTATATAAAATAGAGAAGGAAAACCAATTTTATGCTGATTAGTGCTTTACACAAATTAACAGTGTACTGTATGTGTTTCAGAAATTGTGTGTTCACAGAGCCTGAAACAAAGCAAAAAAAAAAAAAAAAATTAGAGCTTGGTAAGATTGACTAGGTTCTCCCAGGAGTCCACCTCTTGGTACAGACCTGAGCAGGCTTCCCACTGCATTGCTGGGGGATTTTTACACACCCAGTGTGTCCTACCCATATCTTGTATTCTTTCTGAAAGGATCTGGGGACAGTTTTCTCCCAGAAGAGATGTGGCAGAAATTGGTGGAACACCACTGCCTCCAAATTCTTGGAAATTTCAAAGGTAGAACATTTTGCCTCAACTGGCAAACAATTTAAGGATAAAGAAGCTTTAAAGTTCAGCTCTCATTTCCCACGGTCTGCTCTTACGAAGAGCTGGCTCCTTGGTGATATGATCCCCAGAGCTGCTCAGTTGGTAAACTAAAACTTAGGCTGCGGAGTCTTATGACCGTTATCCCAAGCTTCAGCTCCTGCCAGTGCTGTACCGCTCCCCTAAATCCAGATTAAAACTATGCAAAGCTGGAGATGATTTTAACACCCTTTAAAGCTAACTTCTGACTAAGTTTTGCTAGATGAAAGTACAAGAAACAGAAAACAAATCTGGGCCATCGATTCCTGGAATCAGCTGTGATCTACATCCGGATTTGTAAGCAAGGAAAATTTGATTTCCTAAAAAGAGCTGTCATATGCCATTGTTTTTTTGAAGTATCCAAATAGATAGAGCATACAAATACACAAAAAGGAATGCAATGTTGAGAAGCGGGAAAAGGAGTATTTCCTATTTTTTTAAACACACTTTTTAGGGAGCTAAATTATTATCCTGTTTAGCTCCTGCAAATCCAGTTCTTCAGACAATTTTCAGTAGAGAATTTTACGTGTTCCCCGAGGAGGGCAGGGATGGCTATAGCCCCAGTCTGAAAAAAAAGGGCTTTCGAGTACTTTGATACCACCCCTTATAGGTCAAATGGTGGAAAAGCAATGGCTTTTGGGACATGGAGAGCTGCATCCATCGGGCTATGGCAGCGGAGACACCAGCTCAGGTGTGATGATCTAGAGAGGAACTACAGCTTTACCCAAAAGCATGTCAGTGGCTAATGTTGCAGTGGGGGAAGGAAATGCTAAAGTGATTTAGCTTATTTTATAAATTAAGGAAGATGATTATTTTCTGTAACTTGAATTTGCTTCTACAACATAAGTGAGGTGCAAGTACAGACCAGCGGCCTGCTCCTGGGTGTTCTTACGTCTCTCTCGAGCCTCATCTCTAGGATGGCATACACAGCAATAGATTAACAAGGAGCTCAAACTTTGAGAGGTAACAGATGGCAGTAAGACTTTGCTTTCTCCTACTAATGTTTTATTTCATAATGAGTTTTCTGTATTTATTCACTTCAGACACAAAACACACTAGACTGGTGTTATGATGCCCTACTTTACACTGGCCCGCAGGCAGTTCCAGAAAAATCAGTGCTGTGTACTGAAGAGCTACGCTGTGTAAGGGATGTGTAACACAGCCACTTACTTCCGTTTGCACCCGACTCTGTGCCAGAATAAGCTCAGGCAGACTACTTCAGGCCTAGTCAGCACCAAGTGCCCAGGTGGACTTTTTTCTCCTATTAATTAAATTAATATGGGAAAACATTGCATTCTGTACCTTCTGAAGTGCTTCCCAGCAAAGAGCTGGATCAAGATCTGTAATGTAAAATTTTCCCAGAAACAGGAATGGAGTGTCACATTTGCGCTGCCTGAGTAAGGATTTCTGTGAGCTTTCTTATCGCCTAGGAAGACTCTGTGCTCAACACCACGCCACTCCATGTGCGCAACTGTTTCCCAAATAGTCACAGGATATAGCTGTGTTTTGAAAACTCAAACACAATCATTGTTAAGAAGTTCTAACTCAGTTTTCATGATGGTGGGATCTTCCTTTTTCAAGCTTTTATTTGGGTGAAAAGACTAAAAATCTACAATGTAAAGTATATGACATTCTTGTCAATAAAACACCATCACACCATTTTAAAAAACCTAACAGAGTATGAATGCTAAGCCAGTATCACAGAAGTCCTATTGTCACCATCCTAATAAGTTTGTCAGAATATCTTTGTAAAATTTCCTGGGGGAGAAACACAGACATATATCAAACATTCTCCCATTCCCTACACAAAAAAAATAGATTGACATGCATCATCTCCTTGATTTCTGCCATGCACAGTCACTTCTACAGATGATAATGCTTCGTAAATGCTTTACCCTTTAATTGGTTAGTTCTGCTCCAGGATACACCAGCACATGAACTTATAAGCTTTACTCATTTAAACACTGAAAGCAAGGATGAGGGCTTTAAGATGAGAAAATTGGTTTTGGCCACCTATCAGCTGTATTCATCTGAAGTAAATCAACAGGGAGTAGACACAGAGCCATGGCTCCATGAGTCAGTAACACGTCCTCCTAGTTAAAACTGTTTAATGCCTTGTCTTAAATAGTTGCCTTCAAATTTCTGCAAAGAAAGTGATCTGATTATTAAAAGGTTTACAGCCTTGTAAAAGAGAAACAGTTTTATATGTTTCTTAGTTGAAAAGTTTCAATTTTAAGGTGATTTTAAAAGTGTTTTTTTAGCCTGTGAAACTCATCTGCATCGGGGCTGGTATAAAACATGTCATCCTTATGGGTCCCTTCCATTTTGAAACATTCTATGATTTTTATGTCGCAGAACAGACAACTGTGTCCTGGAAGGTGAGTGAAGGGGAAAGCGCCTGAGTATGAGCGAACCGACATGTAATATGAAGTCCTGCACAGCCCCTAAATAGCTTGAAATAGCTATCTGTTGCATTTATTTCCATGCCAGTGGGACATAAAAAATTACTTCAGGCAGTTGTTTATCTCCTTCTCATCCAGCTATACTATCCCTGGATCTTGAAAAATGCACTGGTGACTGACTGCTATAGAAGCTCCAGTCACTTAAGACACTGTTCTCTCATGGGTATATTTAATATCCTGAAAATCTACAGTATTTTTCATTTGTGTAGCCCTTCAAAACAATTTGCAAAACTCTTATAATATGCCGCTTGAGATACACATGCAAAATATGCATGTCGCTTGCAGGGAACAAAACAGATTTAAAAGTAAATTTAGGACTTGAACTTCAAACATAATTAATGTATCAGCAGCATCACTTTTCAGCTAAATAGTAGCAAGAGATCACACGTATGCCACAGCAATGGTAAAGTGAAATGCATCAACCAGAAAGATCACTGAAAGATGCTTATATTTTTTATCTCCCATTCACATACTAGGAGCCAAGAAGCACGTAGCTACTGCAGCTCAGCTAATGGACAGTAAATCAGGGATGTGCCCCAGTGCTGAGACAACACCTACATTCATGATGAAGATAAAATTATTCTGACGGGTGAAACTGATTTCTGAGAAGGTGAAACAGTGGAACTGCCTCTTTTTTCCATGGCTGGTTTCCAGCCAGCCCAAATACAGAAGTCACAGGGTCAGCTTTGAGCATCCCAGCCAAGAGCTGCTTCTAGTGAGTTGCTGGTGAAAACTCAAGCGAAATAGCCTTCAGCAGGGTCATGCTTCATGAAGACCTTCCCCATCAGACCCTGGAAGTACACTTTATTTCCTTTACTGCTGTTTTTCCTCATACCAAAATTTCTTGACTGTGAAGATTAAGTCATCACATAGTTGAAAGGAACATGAAGCCATGCCCAGTTCTCCCCAAGGAAATCCAGAACATGGTAAGCACTGAAGCTACGCTTACTAAAGCTGCATGTGGAGGTTATACATCAAGGCTACTTTGTAAATCAGGCAACAGCAAAATGGGTCCACTTATTCACTTACCACTGACACCATGAAGCCAACGCAGTACAGAGAGGCTTTATTACCTATACCAGCACCAAAAATGTCTCCTGATAGAAACAACAGTTAGGCTTCTGAATCTTTAGCACCCACATGAATTGTCTTGTATTTATTTATGTTATTTTCAATAATTCATTAATTCACAGTAACACTCAAAAATAGACTGAAGAGGAACAGACACAGTTGCAAAGAATGTACTACCTTATTCATATTTTTATGAGTTTAATTTAAACCTAAACATATCTCATTCTCTAATTTGAACTTATTTGGAATCTGTATGACAATGGAAGAAAGGGCAGGGAGAAGACAGGGCACAGATGAAGTGCCCTGTAAACCACACAGTCCGAGGCGTGATAGATGAAATAAAAGATCTAGCTGTGAATGAGTTGTCCCCATTTCAGGTGCTCTGGGGAAATGTCCGCTTGTGACCTCTAATCAAGACAGACAAGGAAAGAAGGATCACACATACTTCATTCACTTCGTTTCCACAGTGCAAGAAAGGACACAGTTTTCCGTGGGGCAGCTGGTATACAGCAGTTACACTCCCATGCATCGAAACATGAGGCAGGAATGAGATGGTTGAACAAACCAGTTAAAAGTTGTGTACTGGACTGAAATCTTTGATGGAGGGTCTCGATATTGGCTTAGTGAATGAGGAAGATAATCTACCAGTTCATCGTCTCATCTTCAGACAACAGTTAGCACTAGCAGTGCAGGAGAAAGCACAGGTGGACAGAACTGTAACTTTTCAAAGGCTAGTTTAGTCAGAAATAGTGATTAACTATGGAGAGAGTGTAAATGACTCCAATAAGATAATGATGTTCTATATACTCCCCTGGGGGAGCAAACAACCTATTACAGCCCTTAATTTTGACTCAGTCTTTACCAAAATTCACTTGACACATCACCATAGGGTGTAATTCAATACAGTAGAAAGAAGCAGCACGGCGAATGTTCAAAAACATTTCCATTATGTCATCAATTTAGCAATATTAAAACGAGAACGTTTTCCTACCTGCTTGTATTCAGATTCTCTTCCAACCAGAACCTGTAGAACATAACCAACAGGATCTCCCTTCATAGGTGGGACCATTTCCCAGGTAATTTCACAGGCGTTTCCTCCCAACTGTGTCACTCGAGGGGCTACAATAAAATGAAGCGCACTAACATTTAATATAAAGACTGCATTGAAATCTTAATCATTTTACATGCACTGTAATACATATGAGAACATTTTAAAAAGAGAACTTTGGGAGATCACAGGGGTTAGTAGCACATAAACTGTACTGTATTTATATGGCCCAAAAAAATCAAATTGCCATACCACTGCAGGAAAGAAGTAAAACTTAATTTACTTAAAAGTCTCATTTGTTTCAGGATAGTCTTGCCTGATTTAAGCTGGAATCTTGTGGTATTAAACAGTAAAAAACACTATCCATGGAAAATTGGGTGAAAATTAGAGCTGATTAACAAGCTCCTAAGACATTCACTGTAAGACCCAGATCACTTCTGCAGAAGGACAGTAGGCTATTAGAGCATCTCTCATCTGTGAGCTGTGTGAGCTGCTAGAAAGGTGGAGTGGATGCGATAGAAAACTTTGAACTTCTAAAATTCAATTGCAATGCTGTGCACTGATTTTTTCAAAGCAGAAGCCAACGCATGGATTACACTGGCATTAATGAAAGAAGCAATTTTGTGAAGTTCTGAGCAAACACCTGTGCCAGTGGAGACGCCCGTGTATTCCTCCCATGCTACACGCAATTGAAAGAGAGGAATAATATCGAACATTTCATTCAGGGGAAAATAGGAGAAGGAATGTGAGAAGGGAAGCTAAATAATCTTCTGTATTAGAGATTAAGTCTAGCCTGGGAAGCAAAAGTACCACCATAATTTTAAAGACTTGGAGTTGTATCTAATCCTGAGCCTGACATTCAGATGATCAGACCTGCTATTTCTAGCCAGGCTTAGACTAGTGCTTTCACTAGAACTCCAGAGAAATTCAATTTGTCAGCTGTTACAATGCTGCCATCCTTGGGAGAGGATCTTTCACCATCTGAAAGCCAGAAGGTGCTGTACGATGCCCGACGGCAAGCGTGCAGGTGAGCCGAGCAGAGTGCTCACGGCAGCAGCGTGTTTGTATGTACAACTAAGCATCTGCCACTGGAAGGCATCAAAACAACTGCGACAGCATCCAGGGTCCACCAACCTCTTGGATCAGGCAGAGCAAGCAAGCACATGACCAAAAAAATGAAACTGGAAGAAACACTGATGCTGAACACTTTACCAAGTGGTTAATATGTGCACGTGCAAGGACATGAGCTTGTTAAAGGTAATCTAGATTCCCAGCCCTACGAAAACAGACAACAGGAGAGTCTAACAAAGAAACAAATGCTGCTGCTGCTGCATACATTACATGAATTTTAGACTAATTTGCTACCACCCAAGAGGAACACGTGAATCATACGCGGACCCAAATGTAATCAATATCCATCGCTTCTCTCTGCACATCTGCCAGTGTTGAGAGGCTGATAATAGACGCCTTCATCGCAGCTGACAACAACAGTCCCAATTGTTTTCCCCCCTCCTTCCATCCCTCACCCCAATACATATAGATTTTTGTCTGACACTTATAGTACTATTTTAGGGTTGGCATCACTAAGTGAGTAATTAGGATACTCTATAGGAGAATAAACATGTGCTTATAATACATGAGAAACTACTAAGTTTATCACATACATTCCTTCATATTGTTCCACACACTGAAGGGAATCAAAACCACCATTTTGCCTCAACAGATCTCTTTTCCCTATAGCATTACCTCCCCATGGCAGTGTTCACTAAAGCAGTTTTTGTTGCGCTCTTTTCTCTGTTACAGCCAGTGTTTTGTCATGTACCTGCAGTCCCAGCCCACACACAACCTGGTATCTGCACCATATCTTAACTGCTTGATATTCAGTTGAGGCTATGAGTCACAGTTAACAGGAACTAAATAGGCAGGCAAGGAGTTCAAACCGAAAACCTAGGTGGGACCCGATTTTCATAGAACGGATTCCTATCCAACAAAATGAAAATGTGAATACAGTGCGTGCCGGCATCCCTGTGCCAGTTTTATCCACTTAGTTCAGCTAAGAGAAGTGACAGCAGCAGGGCCTTGGCACCCACGAGTGGCACGCAGGTGTGCCCAGGCACTGCGACAAGGTGCAGATGCCAACGCCGTGAAGCACCGCTCCCCGACACCGGCACCCGCGCCAGCCTGGTTCGCTCTGCTTGTAGCACATCTCACAGCTGCCCGACAGAGTGAATCAGGATAATCCGCTGTTGGATAAGTATATTCACCCTCAAACTTTACATCAAAGCACATACAGGTATCTTCTTCCAGAAGCAGCACTGACGCAAATGACAAAACCCAGGGGATATCCTGGTAGAAACGAAGGTGGGATTCTCACATACGCGGATTTTAGCTTCGTGAAGCCAGTCTCACAACGTTCTCTCTGTGCTCAAGGGTGTTGCTCTTCCTGGGGTGATTCAGAGCAGCTAACCTAGGCACCAGGGAAATTATACCCCTGAAGTGTTCTCCCCTCTCTCAATCTTTCATTACAAATGGTGTCAAAATCACCAAAGCCAGATTTTAAATACAGCGGAGCAAATAAAACCTCTCTGACAAAGTACCAGTTGCTGTTTCTCACAGTAAACAGTAGTGCTTGACAAAGGAGCACCCTGGAAAAAAGGGTGCACCTGATTTCAGCTCAGTTTATGTGGCAGCCGACACAGTGAATCTGCTGCTTTTGTAATCATTCTCCTTGGAAAGAAGAAGCAAAGTTACTTAGGCCAAAATTTACACACAGCAGAAGATGTTTCATTATAAAACTTCATTTAAATAGGCCTTTTGTTCTTCTAGTGGAACACATGCTAAGGGAGTTATAAATCTAATGTACGTGAAATATTGTAATTAATTTTATACATTAAAGGAAAAATAAACTCTGAAGTTCTATGCTGAACATCACCTTCACAACAAAACAACGTTTAACTTTACTAATGCTTAAGTTGGTATGTACACACATATACTGCAGCTGTTACATCCCTTATAGAAGTGCTGAGGTAATCCAGACCAATTCCCTGGTAAACACTATTGTTAGCAGGAGCATTTTAACCGTTTATGTATAACAACAGTGGTTGGTATAACATGTTTACACGATTTTTTAGGGTGATAATTTAGCTTCCCACCATAATGTAACCTCACAATTCACAGAAATATACAAACACAAACTGATTTTCCACATATGTTACTGCATGCTTATGTTAACCCTTAAAAACTCACTGCCTACTTACCAATTACTTAAATGATTACATGTTGATTATGTGTGCATAGACGAAAAATCTATTACATACCTTTGATTGCAGGTGGGACTGACTTAGTTGTGCAGAAGGTACATATTTCTGAGAAAGGTCCCTCCCCAGCATCATTGACTGCCTGTATTCTGAACGAGTAACAAGTAGATTCTGTCAGCCTTTGTATCTTGTACGTATGACTTGGTCCCCTATAAATCGGAATAAACCTGGAAACAACAGAAATGAGTACATATAATTACACTGGAATGGCACTGACATTTCTGGCTATTACATATATCAGCACAAGGTATCCACATTGTGAAAACTGGCAGAATGTGCTTTGCAGAGCTATTAAAGGCAAGTATAAAAAAGGCATGTTATTAATACACTCGCAATGATTAGTAGTTTAGGGAAAGCAGAAGCTCACTGCCCCTTTTGCAACTAGTACTCACCTTGCAAAATGATTACGTGAATTTTGAAGAAAAACATCTGCCGATGCATCTCCTACTACCTAGTAATCAAAATGGATTCAACCTGTGTTCTGCTACAATACACCACTTGCACTGCTGGTTTAAAAGTATGTTTAAAACAAGATTAACACTTTGAATCTTTTATTGCTTGATTTAGACTTTATTTGCACATTAAGACCACATCTTACATTCATCTGTGCCATCTTAAGACAGAGCAACTCTATTTAAAACAGAATACATGGATTGCATAGTAAATGTGTAATATATTACACACTTCTCAGTTTTGAAGAGTTCACTGACTGAAGACAGACAAACAGCAGAGACAGAAACAGATTCGGAGAACACATGTCTGAGTGAAAAGGCACAGGGGAAGCGAGGGGGTTATGGAGGATGGGAGAAGATGCCAGCTCCGGAGATCTGAGGGACGCCCGTACTGACAGCTCTGCTGAAGAGCAGGCTGAGAAGAAGAAAAAGGGCACGACACTAAGGAAGTGACTTCCAAAATACTTCTGTTGACAAGACCAAACATCAGCACACGCAAACTTGTCCAACAGTGTAATGCAGAACAAAATCAACGTCATTTAATCTTAAAAAAACAAATCAAACCAAAAAACCCTACGGTTGCTAGAGAAAATTGGACTTCTATTTTCAATTGGTCTGCTCAGATAAATGCTTTTCAGTAACAGTAATATGTTAGACAGCAACTTCTAACTGAGATCCTGACTCCCAGCGTGCTGAGCAGAATGGGGATGAGGGTAAATAAAGAGGAAGCACCCAGCATCCTGAATCCATCTGCTTAGCCTCCGCTGGGGAACAACGTCTTACTTGTAGTAGCCCTGAATCCGGAGAACATAAAATTCACTGCGTAGGATCACATAGTTTATTTGATGATTTAGTACACTTATTCAAATATCTTAAACATTTCAGCGGGTTTTAAATCACCAGCAAGCCAACCAAGAGATTTGTTTTTGACCTCTCTATGTAGGTGCTAGCTTTATCCTTCGGCTTTGAGCAAGATACACAGTATAACCAATTTGAGCATTTCAAAGAAACCGGGTCTGTCATTAGCTCTCAGGGACAGAAATCAATTCATATTACATTATTATTGAAATCCACGGAAGTACAGAGAGATCAAGAATCATCTGTAATAAAAAGAAATGTTCAGGTAATTTAAATTGCTGAAAATGTACCCTGAGGACTAATGCGACTTACTACTGCCACCGAGTTTTAGTGAGCCCCTCACCTTGATTGGAAATCAAAGATCTATGCCTACAAGGTTTTAAGAGGAGGTTTTAGAGCCAATTTCCAAAGAAGAATGTTTTTTTTTCAACCCTATGCTTATACAGTTTTAAGGACTGCCTACTATCCCACATTTTTGAGGCTCACATAAGTAGCTATGGAACGTTTCAAAAGACTGCCACAGAACTGTTCTCATGGAATAAAATTTCTTGGGATTCACTGTGTGATGAACAAAGCACAGGTATTTAGGACAGCATTAAAACTGAAGAGACAAGTCTCCCTCTCAACTTCTTGTAGCTCAATCAGGCAGCTGGCTCAGAAACCACTGCAGTACTCACAGAAGTGCAGTCTCTGACTGATCCAAAGGCAACAGATAGCAAAAAAGATGCAATGCAGTATTTTAGACTAATGACCTCTTTGTAAGCATCCCTGGAGCTAGGTAAGCAAGGGAGGATAAATATACCTTACTAGCTAACAGACAAGCACACCCATCCCTAGTTTGGGCTTATCATACAGTTGCTAGATGTACCTCTATTAGTGAATACTGAGGACTTAGTCCTGAAATTACACTTTCACCTTTTGAATATGACTAAGGTTTCGTAACACTGAAAAAGTGATCTGGCAAAACACTTGAGTTCCTCCTGTCATATGTGAACTGAACTAATACTGCCATCCAGTTTCCATCTCCACCTCTTTTTACTTTTCTATCTCAAAAACATCTGTAATGAAAGCAAAAACCATTATGGAAAAGCTTGCATCCATGTTCAGTACACAAGACTGTAATGGATGCACACTGAAACCTATGAAGTTCTACCAGCTTTGAAGAAAGAGGGCTTCCAATTTTGTAAGAAGAAAGGCTGATTTACTAAGGCAATCAAATTCAATTGCTGTTAGGCTTTCCTATGACAATAATGCTTTGTAATTGTGTTTGAAGATGCAGATCATGATGTAAGGAACATAATGAAGATGAAACATTTTAACTTCAAAATACTAGTGATTTCTTGATAATAATGTAGTATTTTCCTCATGTCTAAAGTAGGTACTTTATACTCCTACAGAATTATTTCTGTTATTTTTAAAAACAGTGTAGTTATTTGATGTAGATGGCTATAGTCTTGGAACAATATATCCTGCAATCCTTTTTCAGCCTCCCTGACTGAAGGACCACAATGAACTTAAAGTTGAATCAATCAGTGTGATTGCACAGTGCTACTGTGATGTCTGCATACATTAAAAAATTGTCTGAAGTAAGATAATTTGTTCTTATTATTGCAAGTTCATTTCTTAAATCTGAAGATTTAGATTTAAACCTGATTTAAAAAAGCACATTTAAATGTGAGTTCTATATAGTTTTGCTTTCTTGCCAAGCCTGATATTGTTCACTGTGTCTAGGCCCTGTTCCGTACACTTTCTTAAGAACAAGTCAGCTTTGAGCTTGTTTGCAAGGACTTGATCTCTTATGAATTTAAAAGTTGAATTATCTGTGTATGGAAAAGCTCCCATGTTCTCCATCATCCTCTCACCTTCTTCCAGCCTCTACTCAGTACTCCGTCTGAACACGGACAATGAATTCTCCTTCTCAGATGCTGTGGAATGCCATAAGGATGGCTGTTAACAAAGCACAGCCATCAAAAAGCTTTCTGGCCTTTCAGGGTGATAGCTGAACTACACTGGGGGGCAGGTGGATGGATTTTTTTCTGCATACCACTTCACTTACTTAACAGAGCTTTACGTCATTCTGAGACTGAATGAGAGAAGCCACAAGTCCTAGTCGCCACAGGGCAGCAACACAGCTTGCACATCAGTGCAACTGGGAGCTGAGAAACTTGTAGAGGAGGCAGGTGCCCCGCTCAGCGGAGCCCCCTCCGTCCCTCCCTGCGTGGCTGGGCTGGAGCTGAGGGATGGGCCCGTGTTGAACAGGACTGAAATACTGCAGCTTGACAAACTGCCACTTGTCCCTTCAACCGAAATGGATATGTTTTAGCTGCTGTGTTGAAAAAGTTTAAACTAACTTTAGTGAAATTGAACTCAAACAGTAATACGCTGACAGTAGCAGCGAAGGTCCCGTCGGAGGTGTGGCAGCGAGGCCTGCCCCAACCCCACCGAGCTGCCTGTCCCCAGCCCCATGCTGCTCCTACAGTACAAACGTTTATGGTGCTAGAAGGTGAACTGGCTTTGAGAACTGATAAAGGTTAAAGATCTTTCTAGGTAGGATAGGCTTACACTGTTTAGTTTTCTAGCTAGTCCAATGTTACATTAAAACAGCTGTATTGGTAAAACTGTAAGGAAAGAATGAGGACACAAGTGGTGTAAACAAGCCCAAAGTGCTCCTGTTCCTATGTAGGAACACACTTATAGAAATCTAAGTGTTTACACTTTGATTTCATATTTTCTTCATCATTCTTCCCTTCCAAGACAGACAAAAACAAAACAGAAACCATGCTCAAGTGTGTCTCAGCCAAGATGCATTCATTTTCTAATCTCTACCTGCTTTCACGTAAATCCCTGAAGCGTGCTAAGTACCAAAAAATTTTTGATTTTCAGAGGTTTTCCCAGTTGAATTTGAAAGACAATAGGCTACACACCTTAAACTGATACCCTGTCTTTGAAAAAAAAAGACTACCTCTGTATGTTAATGGCATTCTTGATACAGTTGCATTATTTTTTTTTAAAGTTTGAACCATCCACAAGTAAAACTGTATTATTCAAATTTAACATGTTGCAGTGTTGCCTCTCCTCTCCACTAAATTAACAGCAGAAACTGAAAAGAAAGCAACTTTCTCCAGGGATGAAGACAGTCCCCAGAGGCTACTTCCCCCTCATCTCACTTGAGCAATCCCAATTCACCCCTTCCCAGACATTCTCATGTTGGTCACGGATTATTCATTTACCTACACATAATGGAGAAGAGAGAACACAATGTCCTAGAACAATTGTTTGGGAGACACCACTGCTGTTAGTTTTTCATCAATACCTTTTCATTCTCAGTGAAGATCTTCTTGGAAATGTTTTACATGTTGCAGCTATTTTGTTTCCTCCACTTTAGCCACTTCCAGTCGAGCAGAGGAATATGAATGTACTCACTCTACCTCCGTGCATTAGTTCCCAGCACATTTTAATCAGCAGGTTCCCTTTCAAACTCTTGGGTTTTGTTTATATTTTAGTAGCCCATTTATCCTTAGAACAATTTAATTTGAAAGAAAATCTACCGTACAGCACTAAGACAGACAGCAATCTTGAGCCAAGGTACAAAGGCTGATATAGCCCTCTGAACGATTCTGTTACTGCCTCCCAGAACAACATGGTCATCTGCCGCAGCTCTGGCTGGAGAGAAATCATTAATACAGCACTGGTGTGACCTGGCGACCTGAGGCTTCATTTCAGCATACATGGGCAACTGCATAATTAGAAACTAAAGTACATGAATTTCACAAACCTACATCTCTTTTAATATTATTATCCCTGTTATCTGCACAATTATAGCCCCCCATGCAGCATCCCTATTATCTGCACCATTA